TTGAGCCCACGAAGCCCGGGACCGCCAGAGCTCAGGCCCACGAAGCCCGGGCCGTTTGGCCCACGAAGGCCCGGGCCCGGCCCAGAATACAGTGCTACCTACAGGTCTAACTTATATATATAGAAGGCCTATTCCCTTGCGGACTGCTAACGAGGTTTAGAACCTAACCACTTTATCACATCACACTCACGGGTCACCTCTGACCTACCTCCACAATCCTGTCTAGGATTGACTACTTTTTTGTGATGAGCTATCTCTAATCCACAGAAAACTTATATTAGAAGTTTTTTAAAATATTAGTTAAACAACATGTTTCTAAAAATATTAACACTGGATACACTGAGTTACCGGAAGAGATGCTCACAACAAAGTGGTAGTTCAAAAATTATTCATCTGAGAAGTGCAACATAAATCGGAAACAGCCTCTGGTCTGGATACACACTACCTCCCCAGACCCTACTTGTGAGATTTTAATGGGTTTGTTGTTGTTGTTGTTGTTGTAGAAGTGCAACATAGATAAGGAAGACAACCTAGAAGTATATTTTCATGGAAAAAACTTTCTATGAAGAAATACCAGACCAAAAGCCTCACCAGACAATTGGATGCACCGTCGGCAATCTCTTTTGCTATTTCAGGAATACCATTGCTGACATTGACTTCATTCAAGGAGTTGTGCTAAAGAAAGAATACAAGTTAGCTACCGCTGACATAATCTCCTCCACTACTGCAGATTTATAAGGTATCTGACCAAGCATATAGAAGCTGCACAAAACTAACCTTTAATGCTGTGGGCCCCTCACCATTTTCTTGCTTGTTTTCAGTATTTAAAGACTCTTTCTGCTGAGATAATTCATTGCTGCCAACATTTACAGTATCTGTGGTATTGCTTTGACCACTCAAACCGTTTTTACCACCATCATTCTCATTCCCCTGCAATATTTCAAAATGTTTACAAATTCAATTTATGAGACAATGCAACAACTTGAACAGCCAGTATGAAGGTAGCTTGGCTAAGTCAATATTAACTATAATGGTTTTGAGCTTATATCTTCATGGTTTAATCACATTGGAAACTTGACCACAGTGATATTAACTTAGTAATGTTAAAGCGGACAACATAAGAAATTCCTTATGATTCTATTCCTCGTCCTCCC